ACTGTGTTAGCTGGGTCTTCCATGGTGGTTTAAAATGGATTCACAAGCACAATTTTCTAAACTCCATTGCTTTTCTCTCCAAATATATAAAAGTACATTGTGCTTTAAAACCTAACCTATTCCATCATAACACTGATTCAAAATGACAGCCTGTTGGACAGTTCTGCACTTCCTTGGTACTGTGTTAACTTAGATAACGTGCTCAGTGTCTTTACTAGGATGTAGGATATACTCAACTTTCTAACACCAATGAAGAGTATGCAGCTAATCTGAACTGCCAGAACTTCCTTTAATTATTTTTTCAAATATTATGAGCCAACTTTAGATGTTTTTGTTTGTATATTGTACTCATGGGGAAGAATGCAGAATCCACAACATGGAATTGGATCATTCAGCCCTGTCCTTTCCACATTGGCATGTATCCTTCACGTGAGCGTGTCACCCTAATTGTATTTACCCATCTGGTTTCTATATCCCTTCAGCTCTTATTTTTGTCCACATATGTAATTTATACCAGCCAGTCAGAAGGTGAGGATACGAAGTGGTGGGCACGTAATGCCCACTAGGTGTATCAAGACTGCCTTTGCTTGTAGATTGGACAGAAGCTGCCTCAACCGACCACAAAGTCCATCAACATGCACCTCCGACCACTATGAGAGACATTGCATACCTTCTGCATTTGCATGGGACTGCACTTGGAGAGATGAAAAATCAAAAGAGAAAACACACACTCTGTATAGAACCAAGCCAGGAATTTCTGTCTTTTTCCACACTACCTTCTGCTGACTATTCTCTACTTCAGAATAAATGGGAATTTCATCTTTAAAAGACAGGACTTTAAACTGTCCTTCCTACTGATGGTAACACACAGATAAACAATTCAACAAAAGTGATGCTGCAATTTTAAAATGCCATAAAAAGCAAAGGTGCTGGCATTTATTTCTGCAGTGAGAACTGTAAGATTAAATTTGTATCGAAATATGTAATCGACTACCAATTTAAAACAATGTGTATTGTGGATGTCATTTTAAAAGAGACATTTTTATCTGAACATCCTTTAGAAATATCAGTTACACCTCCTTTGGTTAGGGGATTGAGGGGATGGCTTCCTTTTTAATGATTTTTCTTTATTGTGATGGCTTTGCAAGTGGGACTCGAGTGTGAGAGTGTCTTGTCTGAATGCAACCTGATGCCCAGGGATGGATACAATGGGGCAGGGTGTCAGGTGATCACCCGGAGGACCAGCAGCACTCCTCCTGTGCCAAAGAGCGCCCGGCAGGCAGAGAGGGCACCCTGACCCGGAGGACCTGGTGGATTGTGGGTTTTCTGCCATAGTGGTCCTCAGCACCAGGCCCCTCTGTCTCGACCCTCCAGATGTCACGAGCCGCTGCTGAGGTAACGTTCCCCGGTTGGTCAGGGGGAGCCTGAAACGTCACCCGCCTGTCGGGAAATGGCATTTCAATGTCAATGCCGCGGTTATAGGCCACCCCTGGGGCGTGGGATCTACCTGTGCGGAATTGATGGGTTAACTCGCAGAGCCACTTGAGGAGATTGACCCTGTGTTTGTTGGAATGAAGAAGAATGAGAGGAGACCTTACAGAAAAGTACGAGATTCTTTGGGGCCTAGACAGGATATTTGTTTCCCTTTGTGGGAGGGCGAGTGGTGGGGGAAGAGTCTAGGACCAAGAGCGCACAATCTCAGAATAAGAGATCACCCATTTAGACAAAGATGGGAAGGATTTCCTCTTCAGAGGGTAGTGAATCTGTGGAAATCTTTACACAGAGAGAATACTACAGACAGTGTTGGCTGGATCATTAAGTACGGAGATAGATTTATAATCAGTAAGGGAATCGAGGGTTATGGGAGTATAGCAGCAATGGTCCATGCTGTAGACCTCTGACTTTAAGTGTTATAGAAAACTCAGTAGGCTGAATGGCTTACCTGTGCACCTTATGGCTTTACGAAGGCAATGGCATAGCGGTAATATCAATGGAGTGATAGTTCACAACCCTTGGCTTGTTCTCCTGGGATGTGGTTTCATATCCCAATCTGGAAGCTGGTGGGATTTAAATTCAATGAGTAAAACCTGATTTTTTTTTTTTTTTTTTTTTTTGAAAAGAAACAGGAATCAGTTATTGTTTTTTAAAAAATACCCATCTATCTTTTCGAGATAGTAGGACCTGCCGATGCTGGAATCTGAGATAACAAGGTGTAGAGCTGGATGAACACAGCAGGCCTAGCAGCATCAGAGGAGCAGGAAAGCTGACTTTCGGGTCGGGACCCTTCTTCTGAAATGAACTGATCCAGTCCCATTTTCCTGCATTTGACCCATACCCCTCTAAACCTTTCCTATTCAAATACCCATCCAGATGCCTTTTAAATATTGTAATTGTACCAGCCTCCACCACTTCCTTTGGCAGCTCATTCCATACATGCACCAACCTCTGCATGAAAATGTTGCTGCTCAGGTATTGTTTCATGTCTCTGACCAAACAGTTCCTTCAGTGATTCCATGGCCTACCATGTGTGCAGTGCTGGAACACACTATGCGGGTTTGACCTTTGCTCATGCTTCAATTTGAGCTGGTTTTTTTTTGTGTCGGTGGAGGTCTGCTGCTGCCCTGCAGTCTCTCCAGGAGACAGAGCAAGGGGGTAGGGTGTGGCCGATAGCTCTACCTCCCTTTTTTCCCCTCTTTGAAAGCTGAACAGTTAACTGATTTCTAAATGTTTTTCAAACAGCCCGAAGCAGGAGATCTCCAGGTTAAGATGAGACGTCAGGAAGAAACTGTTGCACATGAGAAACCCATCAAGCCTGCTGAAATTCTCGAGACCCAGGGGCATCCGCAAAGCACAGAGGTAAGCATTCTGCCTCCCAATGTCTTGCATGGTTGCGGACCGTTTTCCCCCACCCTCGGAATAAACTTTCATCCTTCAGGAATATTGACTGGGAGGGATGTCGGTGCAGGTGTGGGGTGGTGGCAGGGCAAAGGGGAAGGAATTTCGGGGAGAAAAGCTGATGCTCTTTGAGGTTTTTTTTTTGGTTTTCCTTCTTTGTGTAGATGCTACGAAAGTCAGACCTGACCTTATCAAATCTGCACATTCTCTTCGTTGCCATAATGATGGAAAGCTTAAGTGGCTTCTGTTTGCGTTAGTTCATAATTTTAAGGGCTGCATTCTTTGGAAATGAAGTTTATCCAGCCATTCGGGACGAGAGACAACTCTGGGAGCGGTGCTGGTGCTAAGTAGTCAGAACTTGGTGATTGCCTTGATTGATTCCTGTGCCGTAATTGGAGATGGGGTGAATCAACCGAAGCTAACATGATTATTATCAATGTGCTACCACAGTTTGTTGTGGCTGAGCTACAAACACCGGCCGCCTAGTGGGCTACTTCAGAATGCTGGCATCATGGTCTCAATCCTCCCTATCCCCGTAACTCCCTTTAGCAATACAAACTCTGTGATACCTGCATCCTCCATTGCTCCACCTTGAGTACTTTAATAGTTTCAATATTAGTGACATCTTCAATTGTCTGGGTTATAGGCTCTGGAATTCCTTCCCCAAGCTTCTCTATTTCTGTCCCTGTCTGTCTGTCTCTTTCTCTGTCTCTCTCTCTCTTTTTCTTCGCTCTTCGCTCTCTCTCTCTCTCTCTCTCTCTCTCTCCTTTCTCTCCTTTTCTCTGTCTTTCTCCTTTTTTCTCACTTTTTCTCCTTTTCTCTCTCTCTCCCTTTTTTCTCACTTTTTCTCCTTTTTTCTCTTTTTCTCTCTCTTTCTCCTTCTTTCTCTCTGTCTCTTCTCGCTGTCTCTTCTCTCTCTCTCTCTTTCTCCTCTCTCTCTCCTTCTCTCTCTCTTTCTCCTTTTATTTCTCTCTCTCTCCTTTCTCTCTCTCTCTTTCTCTTTCTCTCTCTCTCTTTCTCCTTTTTTCTTTCTCTCTCTTTCCCCTTCTCTCTTTCTCCTATTCTCCCTCTCTCTCTCTCTTATTCTCTCTCTCTCTTTCTCCTATTCTCTCTCTCTCTCTCTCTTTCTCCTATTCTCTCTCTCTCTCTCTCTTTCTCCTATTCTCTCTCTTTCTCCTATTCTCTCTCTTTCTCCTCTCTCTCTTTCTCCTTTTATCACTCTTTCTCCTTTTATCACTCTTTCTCCTTTTTATCTCTCTTTCTCTTTCTCTCTTTCTCTCCCTCTCTCTCCTATTCTGTCTCTTTCTCCTATTCTTTTTCTCCTATTCTTTCTTTCTCTCTCTCTCTCTCTTTCTCCTATTCTTTCTCTCTCTCTCTCTCTGTCTCTCTCTTTCCCCTATTCTTTCTCTCTCTCTTTCTCCTATTCTCTTTCTCTCTCTCTCTCCCCCCGATTTTATTAGTGCACCTGTGAAGCGCTGTGTAAATGCAAATTTCCATTGGTTGTTGTTATACTGAATCATGGTGCAATATCTTCCGGAACCGAAGAGAGGGTGGATGAGTGAAAGAAGGAAATGTTCATTTGTTTGAAATTTGTAAACAGAAATTGTTAATTAGAGTGCCCAACTAAAAGGACTCAAGTCAACAGTGCATGTTTTCTGGAGTACATAAACTTAGAAATAAGATGCTGAAAAGTGGGATTGATCTAAAGGCTTAATTTTGATCTCAAGATTTACATGATTCTTAAACACATCCAAATACATTACATCTGAAGGGAACCAACACATATAGTGCATTTGGACTTTGGGAAGGTTTTTGATAAGGTGCCACATTAGGCCACTAATCAAAAAAGCCCCCATGGTATTGGAAGCAGTATATTAGCATGGATAGAGGATTGGTTGGCTAATAGAAGGTGGAGAGTTGGGATAAGGGGGCATTTCCAGGATGGCAACCTATAACAAGTGGAGTGCCACAGCGATCAGTACTGGAGCCATAATTATTTACAATATATTAATAATTTGGATGAGGAAAATACTAAAGCCAAGTTTGGGCGTGATGCAAAAATAGGTGGGAAGTTAAGTAGTGAGGATGATACAGAGTATGCAGAGGAATAGAGACAGGTTAAGCCAATGAGCAAAATTTCAACACGTGGGATATAATGTGGGGAACTGGGAGGTTATGCACTTTGGCAGGAAGAAAAGAAGAGCTGACTATTATTTAAATGGAGAAAGCTACAGTACAGAAAGATTTTGGGTCTTTGGGCAAAAAAAATTAGCATACAAGTTTAGCAAGTAATGGGGAAGGCAAATGGAAAAGTGGCTGAAAGGAAATGGTACATAGAGTAGGGAAGGCTTGTCAAAACTATATAAGACACCAGTCAGATCACACCTAGAATCAGGGATTTTTTTTGGGCCCATTAGCTAATGAAAGCCATATTAGCATTGGAGGCAGGCCAGACAAGATTCATTAGGCAGATCCTGAGTATGGAGGTATTTTCTCATGAGGAGAGGGTGAGTAAGTTGGGCTTGTACTCATTGGGGTTAGAAGAGAGCTGACCTTATTGAAAGACTCGATTTTTAGGACGTTTGACGGGATAGACGTTACAAGGCTTTCCCTTGTGGTAGAAGTCTGGACCATAGTATATATCTTCAGAATAAAGGATCACCCGTTGAAGACTGAGATAAGGTGGAATTTCTTCTCCCTGGTGATAGTCAATCTGTTGTGTTCTTTACCGCAGAGTGTGTAGAGGTTGCATCATTAAATATATTGAAGGCTGAGGTCACTGCATTTTTTAATCAGTAAGGCAATTGAGAATTATGGGGAGAAAAGTAGAAAAGTGGAGTTGAGGATTATGGGATCAACCATGGGTGGCACAATGGACCCAGTGGGCCAAATGGCCTTCTCTGCACCTACAGCTTACAGTCTTATAGTCCTATGTGACCTTTTAAATTTGCAAGAAAGCCAGTCAATGGTGAATGGCTGATGCGCATTTATTAAAATGTATGGATTGGTATTTGACTCTTACTCGTAAAGTAATTGGTAAGCAATGGTGATGTGACGGTTTTGAACCTTGGGTTTTGGGTGTGTTGAGCTCTGTTCTTTTCTTCGTCTGGCCATTTTACAGCCTAAGACAGGAATACCCACCAACTTTGGCTGAAGGCCATGGCTCTCAGCGCCAACTTGCCCATGGATTCTGAGAGTCTTCGCTTATTTCCAGATTTCAGTGGATTGTGAATGGGCATCACTCACAGTTTCAAAGTTTCTGGGGAACAGTACACTGGAATCCTCTCCACAACCTACACATGAAGCACATTATTCCTGCGCCTCTTTCAAATTAGCAATATGTTGCTTGCCCTCCAAATGATGCTAAATTTGACCTATCTAGTATGATTTGGCTAAGTGCTGTTAATAAGAAAATGGGCGTCTGAGATGTTGGTTCACCAAGTAATTAGCACGCAGAGAAATCTTACCACAGCTCTGTAAGGCATTGGTGAGACTGAACTGGGGGGCACTGCATACAGTTTTGGTTTCTTTACTTAAGGAGGGATGTCCTTGCATTGGAAGCAGTTCAGGGAGAGTTCAGTAGGCTAGTTCCTGGGATGAAGGGATCATCCTATGAGGAAATGTTGAACAACTTGGACCTCTTGCTCATTAGCCTTTAGAGGAATGAGACATGGTTTTATCTATTTCTGAGATGACTTTACAGAATGGATGCTGAGATGATGTTTCCTCTCATGGGGGAGTCCAGAACTGGGGCGGGGCAGTCTATAAATAAAGGGTCTCCCAATTACAATGAAGATGAGGATGAATTTCTTTTTTGAGGGTCATTAGTATTTGTTTCTGTTGTTTGAGGAATCTAAAGTGCAGGGGCACAGAACTGGGATAAGGGGCAGATGAAGGGGCTAATCATTTAGGACTGGTGAGAAATTACTTCACTCCAAGGGCTGTCATTCTTTGGAATACTCTATGGGAGAGATTTGTGAGTGCCTCACCTTTGGAGACACTGGAGGCTGGGCGAGACAATGCCTCGGGGAATGGAGGAATATGAGGGAAGGTGGACTGAAGCTGAAGATGGTTGTGTTGAGTGGGGGACCAGTCACGACGAGCCATTTGTCTTTTCTCACTTGAGGACCACCCACAAAATGTTCTCCTCCTACTCCTCTTTCTTGTGTTCATGAGTAGAGGCTGCTCATCAAATATATTCAAGGCTGAGTTGGACAGAATTTTAATCAACATGATGGTAAGCAGGAGTTGAGAAAACTGACAGATGCCCATGATTTTATTGACTGGTGGAACAGATTTGAGGGGTTGAATGGTCTTTTCCTGCTCCTGTTACGCTCTTATTTTCTTGTGAATATGGATGGTCTAGGAAGGAGATAAAACTTGGTGACTTTTTTTTAATGTTTGTTATTGCTAATGCTTTGTTTATTAGCTGTCTATCCCCTCTCGATATCTTATATAATCCTGGAATGTGGAGTTTACACAGAAACAGGCCATTGGGCCTAGCTGATCTACCCTGGTGTCTATACTCCACACATCTCCTCCCATTCCACTTCACCTAACTCTTATCAAAGAATCATTCTATTCCTTTCTTCCTGGTGCACTTGCTTAGCTACCCCATAAACACATGCAAGCTATTTGTCTCAATATCTCACCACTCTCTGGGTAATAATGTTTCTGCTGAACTCCCTCTGAGATTTATCATCATAGAATCCCTACAGCGTGGAAGCAGACTCTTCGGCCCACCAAGTTCACACCCACCCTCCTATAACCCACTTAATCTACACATCCCTGAACAATTTAGCATGGCCAATCCCCCTGCCTGCACATCTTTGGACTGTGGGAGGAAACCGGAGCACCCAGAGAAAACCCACACAGACACAGGGAGAATGTGCAAACTCCACACAGACTGTCGTCTGAGGGTGGAATTGAACCCAGGTCCCTGACGCTGTGAGGCAGCAGTG